ATCAACCTCCTGACAGCTGACAGGTGTTTTTTCAATACCACTGTTCCCATTAAAGCTGGTTTAATCAAAACACATCTTTAAAATTACGACAAAATATATTTAAAAAAATATAATAGATATAATAAATATAATAAATATGTCCATGTATAATCAAAGGCCAGGCGTAGAGTTAGGGGAGATATGATAGAGGTGTACAAGTGGGTAAGTGGGATTAACAAGGGTAAAATGGAAGATGTTCTGAAGCTCAGTAATAACGAAATAACTAGAACAAATGGCTTTAAATTAGATAAATTCCGATTCAGAAAGGATATAGGCAAGCACTGGTTTGGTAATAGAGTTGTGGATATGTGGAATAGACTACCGAGTGCAATAGTAGGATCGGGGACGCTAGGGAGCTTCAAGACGAAGTTGGATAGGCACATGGAAATGCTGGGAATGGTGTGAAAGGGATCTGCCCTGTATGGGCCGGTCGGCCTCCTGCAGTATCCCACTTTCTTATGTTCTTATGTTCTAAACCAATTCACTCAGAATAATGTTATCTCCACCAAACACAATGTTCTCTCACTACTACAATACTCTTTGAACTATAACGAACATATTACACTTTAGTTAACACCATAATTATCCATGATTGCCCAGATAATAATAGATAAATGTGCACCACACAAGCTTGGCCTCCTACCTCCTCCACCTAGCTACAAAGAGCCTTGCCAAAACAATGTTCCAATACTTTCTTGTTTCATCAACATATAATTTATAATTCATTTTATACGTCACACCTGCTTCTTACAGTCTTTCCTAACTATAAAAAAAATAAGAATTTATTCTACAAAGTTTACATAATGAAACAATATACATACTTCTATAAAATAATCAAGACATTTTTTTAAAGTCTTTACCATAAGCTTGGAAATTCGATTCTAAAGAAAAACGGGAAACAACAGAAACTAAATACAATGGGTAACTAAAACAAATATTGAGGGACAGGGGAGACGACCGTAACACAGCCGGGTCCATCGACAGTGTACTGTCGACTCAACGTGTAAAAGTAAGTGCTGGCTGTGTAGACGGTAGTAGTGCGGTGATCCTGAACCTCACCAACGATCGACTTAGTGGAAGTGCCCATTCTACTTGTGAGGTTATACGAAAATATTATAGTCTAGCATACATTGTGTACGAACCCCCATTAATCCCCCTATTGAACTAGTAAAATAAAGCTGTGTTTTATATACTACACTTGTACTGAGCCTGTGTTAATATGCCATTATCTTCACACCCTCGAGGCACGCTACCTCCTCCCCCACTATACCACTCTACTACTATAAACTCCTACCTTACCTCTTCATGTGAGATTTATCCTCATTATATTTAATATTATTATTTATTATTAATATTATTATTATTATTATTATCATTATTGTTATTATTATTATTATTATTATTATTATTATTATTATTATTATTATTATTATTATTATTATTATTATTATTATTATTATTATTATTATTATTATTATTATTATTATTATTATTATTATTATTATTATTATTATTATTATTATTATTATTATTATTATTATTATTATTATTATTATTATTATTATTATTATTATTATTATTATTATTATTATTATTATTATTATTATTATTATTATTATTATTATTATTATTATTATTATTATTATTATTATTATTATTATTATTATTATTATTATTATTATTTATTATTATTATTATTATTATTATTATTATTATTATTATTATTATTATTATTATTAATTATTATTATTATTATTATTATTATTATTATTTATTATTATTATTATTATTATTATTATTATTATTATTATTATTATTATTATTATTATTATTATTATTATTATTATTATTATTATTATTATTATTATTATTATTATTATTATTATTATTATTATTATTATTATTATTATTATTATTATTATTATTATTATTATTATTATTATTATTATTATTATTATTATTATTATTATTATTATTATTATTATTATTATTATTATTATTATTATTATTATTATTATTATTATTATTATTATTATAATTATTATTATTATTATTATTATATTATTATTATTATTATTATTATTATTATTATTATTATTATTATTATTATTATTATTATTATTATTATTATTATTATTATTATTATTATTATTATTATTATTATTATTATTATTATTATTATTATTATATTATTATTATTATTATTATTATTATTATTATTATTATTATTATTATTATTATTATTATTATTATTATTATTATTATTATTATTATTATTATTATTATTATTATTATTATTATTATTATTATTATTATTATTATTATTATTATTATTATTATTATTATTATTATTATTATTATTATTATTATTATTATTATTATTATTATTATTATTATTATTATTATTATTATTATTATTATTATTATTATTATTATTATTATTATAGTTGTTTTTGCTGTTGTTGTCGTTATAATTATTATTAATGTGTTGTTTATCGTGCACTTGTTTTCTCTCCCTTCTCAGCTAAGGTTGTTCCCGAGCACTTGAGTGTTACAGTCAATAAGGGTGAAGGCCTCAGCGTTCGGTTCACCAACGTGGGAACCAAAGAAGTGGAGTGGAAGAAGGCATCGACCAGGTCTTGGACGGGCGTTGATCGCATTAATAATAACCAGTTAATCATCCCGGCCTCTCAACTGGATGGCTCTGGCTTCTACAGTGTTAGGTACCGTCTTCCACCTGGTTACACCAGAAATAAACAAGAGTCAGGAACATTCAGCCTCATCATGAGAGGTAAGCAGTGATGGATTATAATATTTACCGAGTGTTAAACGCTTGGGAGGGGGTGCGGCGTCAGAGTGGATAAAGTGCTCACCTCGCTACTAAGAGTACCAGGTTCGTGCCCCGGCCACCAGGCCAGCCATACATGGGTACCAAGCCTTACAGTTGGGGTAGTGAAGATGGTGGTGGAGTGCAGTGACACCTTGTGTAAATACCTCTGGGACCTACTTTTCTATGATTGTGCAACAGTCGGTCTCGTGTGTGTGTGTGTGTGTGTTCGTGTTTGTGCGGGTGTAAGTGTTTGTGTGTAAGTGTGTGTGTGCTCGTGTTTGTGTGTGTATAAGTGTACTCTAACTGTTCAACAGCTGAATATCCGGCCTTTTTTGGGGGCACTCCCCTACATCCTTGTGTAAGGTGAAGCGCAGAAGCGTTTACAGCGCCCAACAGGGAAGCATGCTAAGTTCATGCTTGCCTTTATGTCTCATGAGTTAAGGGCGTAGAAGCCTGAGGAGTCAGTGGTTTATGTCATCAAGTTATTGGAAGCTCCAACTCAATGAATACGAATTCGCAAATTTCGACTTACACCAGGTACCTACTTTACTGTTAGGTGAACAGGGACTAATGGGGGCTAGGAAGTATGTCCAAACAACTTCCACCCGCCCGGGAATCGAACCCGTGACACCTTGCTTGCGAGGCAAGAGCGATACCGCTTCTACCACCGGCCACACTATCTGGCCTTGTAACAGTGACACATCTTGATGCTGAGGTCAAGATCATCGATCAAAGATTAAAGTTTACCCTTGGGGAAAATATGCTAATGAACACAGGTATGGTCGGAAGGGAACCCTAACCTAACCGAACCTAACACTAACCTAACATTAACCTAACACTAGCCTAACCGAACCTAACCCTAACCTAACACTAACCTAACACTAACCTAACACTAACCTTACACTAACCTAACACTAACCTAACACTAACCTAACACTAACACTAACCTAACACTAACCTAACACTAACCTAACACTAACCTAACCTAACACTAACCTAACCTAACCTAACCTAACCTAAACTAACCTAACCTAACACCAACCTAACACCAACCTAACACTAACCTAACCTAACACTAACCTAACCTAACACTAACCTAACCTAACCTAACCTAAAACTAACCTAACACTAACCTAACCTAACACCAACCTAACACCAACCTAACACTAACCTAACCTAACCTAACACTAACCTAACCTAACACCAACCTAACACCAACCTAACACTAACCTAACCTACCACTAACACTAACCTAACACCAACCCAACACTAACACTAACCTAACACCAACCCAATCCCAACACTCAACTCAACACTAACACCAACTCAACACTAACTCAAACCTAACACTAACCTAACACCAACCCCAACACTCAACCTAACACTAACCCAACCTAACACTCAACCTAACCTAAACACTAACCCACCAACACTAACCTAACACTAACCTTAATCCCACCACTAACCTAACACTTACCTAACCTAACACTAAACTCAACACCAACCTAACACCTGCCAACCTAACACTCAACTCTAACACTCAACCTAACACTAACACTAACCTACACTAACCTAACACCAACCTAACATTAACCTTTTTTTTTTTTTTTTTAACGTGGCCTCCAGCCTCCCCCAATAGACACACCTTCGCCACCATTTATTTACCTTAATATTAAATATCCTAATACATAAGAAGCTATCCTATCTGTGTTGAATTAGTTGAGCCGCAGATCTATGCGACATTCAGTGACTGTAGTCTCATAGTCAATATCTGCAGCAGTTGTCGGAGTTGGGGCAGAAGCTCTCGTTCCCCTGAGGCAGAGCAAAGCCGACCGAAGGAGAGAGAAGGACAGTCGACATCTCATCCAGGCTGTAACATAACTTCTGGGCTGCTGCTTCTGTTCGGAGATCACCTCCGCGAGTCTGGCGTAGAAACATCTTGCACTTGGGCCCATCCCACCAGAGGTTGTGAACACCAGAGGAGTGAAGTTGCCTTGATCAACGTTTTTAATTCTCTCCCCATATGCCCTTCTCTTGTCGTTCTCGTTCCTCCTATGTGCAGCATCGAGAGCTAGGTTACGATGACATGCGGCCATGGGATGAAAAATCCTGATGTCGAAGAAAGCTCGCTGTCCCCGCGTCCAGAATCCTCGAGCACTGACGTCCACACGGGCTTCGTTAGATGTGTTTGAAGTCCTGTGTTGGAAGATCTCGCCATCCAGTGGAAGGAGGGTCGGTTCTACCATGACGTCCCGGCAGATTTCCTTCAACATATTTGCTGTGAGATCCCTTACCTCATCATGCCTCATGAAGCCCCCCTTCTTGTACACCATGGCGTGATCGCCATCATAGGAAGAGCCACACACGCAGTGGGAGGGCAAACCTTCTACTGGCCAACCGTACCTTAGAGCAATGGCATCTGTAAATTCTTGTTTATTAAGACTGAAACCATTTGCCCTTATCGGTAACGTAGTTAACCAGTTCGAGGCGCCCACCTCCTGCTCTATAGCTACTTTTTTTTCAAATTTTCTGGAACCTGCAGCAATAGTTGCTGCAACATATCATTTTGGCAGTGCTGTCGATCTGTCGTAATGGACCTACGAATCTTATTTACTTCGCTGGTATCCACTTCCCCTGTTGCATTCTGGGCTATTATGTGGTCCGTGAGGGCTGCCGTGAGCTTTAGTGAATTTTGATGTTCAGTGGCAGCAATCTCCTCTGGATTTGTTAGTCCCATCCCTCCCAGTCTTGGTGGAAGTGCAAGAAGTGCTCTTTCTGCTGGGGTTAAGTCAGGGTGTTTCACTAATTTGGGAATGAACTTGACACTGATAGCTTCTTCCAGAGGGTGGAGGAGGACTCCGATTTCAGGGATAGTACGCATCAGGTAGTTCCTGTATAGTAGGCGATTTTAACCTTGGCCAAATAGATTGGACTGACCTTTCGGGTAACTCAGTATCAGAGGATTTCCTCGAAACGATCCAGGACTGTTTCCTAAGTCAACATACAGTATAACCGAACCCACCTGGGGTAATAATATACTCGATTTAGTTCTGTCGAACAGAGAAAACCTCATTAGCAATGTCGAGGTAGGGTACGAACTTGCAAACAGCACTTGATGTACCCCTCCACACGTGCACCATCTGGGAACGACCCTGCCAGTCCCATATCGGCCTCTCTAGTCACCTCAGAACTCACCAATGAAGGTGACATCCCTAATAACTTGTATCATTGTATCATACCTGGATGATCGTCAGACTCGACTCCGAGTGACAGCAAAGTAGTAGTAGGATAAGTTAGGTTAGATTAGGTTATTGTGAGGTAGGATAAGCATGGTTATTAATTGGTTAGGTTAAGATAGTGTTAGGTCAGGGTAGATTAGTGTTAAATTAGGCTAGGATAGGGTACGTGTAGTTAGGTCAGCGCTAGGATAGGTGAGCGTACGTCTGGGTTAGGTTGGGTTTAAGTAGGTTAAGTGAGATTAAATTAGGATAGGTTATTTTAAAGTTAGGTTCCGTCACACCTGAGTTAAGTTAGGTTTCAGTTTACCTAGCTTGAACTGTAGTTAGTGGAGCACCATTATACACCAATACCTGTAGTTTGTGGAACACCATTATAAACCAACCCCAGTAGTTAGCGAAACACCATTATACACCAACACCTGTAGTTAGCAAAACACCATTATACACCAACACCTGTAGTTAGTGGAGCACCATTATACACCAACACCTGTAGTTTGTGGAGCACCATTATACACCAACACCTGTAGTTATTGGAACACCATTATAAACGAACACCTGTAGTTAGTGGAGCACCATTATACACCAACACCTGTAGTTAGTGGAACAACATTATACACCAACACCTGTAGTTAGCGAAACACCATTATACACCAACACCTGTAGTTAGTGGAGCACCATTATATACCAACACCTGAAGTTTGTGGAACACCATTATACACCAACACCTGTAGTTATTGGAACACCATTATAAACCAACACCTGTAGTTAGTGGAGCACCATTATACACCAACACCTGTAGTTAGTGGAACACCATTATACACCAACACCTGTAGTTAGTGGAACACCATTATACACCAACACCTGTAGTTAGTGGAACACCATTATAAACCAACCCTTGTAGTTAGTGGAACACCATTATAAACCAACACCTGTAGTTAGTGGAGCAACATTATAAACCAACACTGTAGTTTGTGGAACACCATTATAACCAACACCTGTAGTTAGTGGAACACCATTATACACCAACACCTGTAGTTAGTGGAACACCATTATACACCAACACCTGTAGTTAGTGGAACACCATTATACACCAACACCTGTAGTTAGTGGAACACCATTATAAACCAACCCTTGTAGTTAGTGGAACACCATTATAAACCAACACCTGTAGTTAGTGGAGCAACATTATAAACCAACACCTGTAGTTAGTGGAACACCATTATAAACCAACACCTGTAGTTAGTGGAGCACCATTATACACCAACACCTGTAGTTAGTGGTGGAACAACATTATAAACCAACACCTGTAGTTAGTGGAGCACCATTATACACCAACACCTGTAGTTAGTGGAACACCATTATACACCAACACCTGTAGTTAGTGGAACACCATTATACACCAACACCTGTAGTTAGTGGAACACCATTATAAACCAACCCTTGTAGTTAGTGGAACACCATTATAAACCAACACCTGTAGTTAGTGGCGCAACATTATAAAACCACACACTGTAGTTTGTGGAACACCATTATACACCAACACCTGTAGTTAGTGGAACACCATTATACACCAACACCTGTAAAGTTAGTGGAACACCATTATACACCAACACCTGTAGTTGGGTGGGAACACCATTATACACCAACACCTGTAGTTAGTGGAACACCAATATAAACCAACCCTTGTAGTTAGTGGAACGCAACATTATAAACCAACACCTGTAGTTTGTGGAACACCATTATACACCAACACCTGTAGTTAGTGGAACACCATTATACCCAACACCTGTAGTTAGTGGAACACCATTACACACCTGTAGTTAGTGGAACACCATTATACACCAACACCTGTAGTTAGTGGAACACCATTATAAACCAACCCTTGTAGTTAGTGGAACACCATTATAAACCAACACCTGTAGTTAGTGGAGCAACATTATAAACCAACACCTGTAGTTAGTGGAACACCATTATAAACCAACACCTGTAGTTAGTGGGCACCATTATACACCAACACCTGTAGTTAGTGGTGGAACAACATTATAAACCAACACCTGTAGTTAGTGGAGCACCATTATACACCAACACCTGTAGTTAGTGGAACACCATTATACACCAACACCTGTAGTTATTGGAACACCATTATAAACCAACACCTGTAGTTAGTGGAGCACCATCCACCAACACCTGTAGTTTGTGGAACACCATTATACACCAACACCTGTAGTTAGTGGAACACCATTATACACCAACACCTGTAGTTAGTGGAACACCATTATACACCAACACCTGTAGTTAGTGGAACACCATTATAAACCAACCCTTGTAGTTAGTGGAACACCATTATAAACCAACACCTGTAGTTAGTGGAGCAACATTATAAACCAACACCTGTAGTTAGTGGAACACCATTATAAACCAACACCTGTAGTTAGTGGAGCACCATTATACACCAACACCTGTAGTTAGTGGAGCAACATTATACACCAACACCTGTAGTTAGTGGAACACCATTATACACCAACACCTGTAGTTAGTGGAACACCATTATACACCAACACCTGTAGTTAGTGGAGCAACATTATACACCAACACCTGTAGTTAGTGGAGCACCATTATACACCAACACCTGTAGTTAGTGGAATACCATTATACACCAACACCTGTAGTTAGTGGAACACCATTATACACCAACACCTTTAGTCAGTGGAACACCATTATACACCAACACCCTGTAGTTAGTGGATAACTATTATATACCAACACTGCAGTTAGTGGAACACCATTATGCAGTTCAACATGGAACACTGTAGTTAGGGAATTAATATCACCAACACCTTTAGTTAGTGGAACACCATTATACACTCAACACCTGTAGTTAGTGGAGCACCATTAAATACCAACACCTGTAGTTAGGTGAAACAACATTATAAACCAACACCGAAGTTAGGTGGAATGACCATTATACACCAAACACCTGTAGTTAGGGGTAAGGGAGAGCACCATTATACACCAACACCTGTAGTTAGTGGAGCAACATTATAAACCAACACCTGTAGTTAGTGGAGCACCCATAATACACCAACACCTGTAGTTAGTGGAACACCATTATACACCAACACCTGTAGTTAGTGGAATTATTATACACCAACACCTGTAGTTAGTGGGAACACCATTATACACCAACACCCAGTTAGTGTGGAACACTATTATACACCAACACCTGTAGTTAGTGGAACACCATTATACACCAACACCTTGTGAAGCTAGTGGAACAATCATTATACACCAACACCTGTAGTTAGGTGGAACACTATTATACACCAACACCTGTAGTTAGTGGAAACACCATTATACACCAACACCTGTAGGTTAGTGGAGCACCATTAGGCTACACCAACACCTGTAGTTAGTGGAACACCATTATACACCTAACACCTGTAGTTAGTGGAACACCATTATACACCAACACCTGTAGTTAGGAACACCATTATACCTCAACACCTGTAGTTAGTGGAACACTAATATATACCAACACCTGTAGTTAGTGGAACACCACGCACCAACACCTGTAGTTAGTGGAACACCATTATACCAACACCCGTGAAAGTTAGTGAACAATTATTATACACCAACACCTGTAGTTAGTGGAACACCATTATACACCAACACCCAGAAGATGGAGTACCATTAAACACCAACACCTGTAGTTAGTGGAATAAACATTAGTAAAACCAACACCTGTAGTTAGTGGAACACCATTATACACCAACACCTGTAGTTAGTGGAGCACCATTATACACCAACACCTGTAGTTAGTGGAGCAACATTATAAACCAACACTCCAGTTAGTGGAGCACCATAATACACCTCAACACTCTGTAGTTAGTGGAATGAATTATTATACAATTCTAACACTCTAGTTAGTGGAACACCATTATACACCAACACCTGTAGTTAGTGGAACACCATTATACACCAACACCTGTAGTTAGTGGAACACCATTATACACCAACACCTGTAGTTAGTGGAACACCATTATACACCAACACCTGTAGTTAGTGGAACACCATTATACACCAACACCTGTAGAAGTAGTGGAATACCATTTTTCTCTCCTTGCCTAGACTTATTGCCGCTATTCTTCATTTAAGTTATTTTGTACAAACTTTTTTGCGAATTCAAAACAGCCAGAGTTTATATAACACAGTTGGTATTCTCGTACAGTTTTCTCTCGGCTGCTCAGTGGATCAGCTTCTGTGATACTGAAACATTTTCTTGGTCTCAGTTCCTGGTGAATCATTAGTTTAGAAACCCATTCATAATTATAAGATTCTTTCAGTATAGTTAAACTTCATTATAACAGAATGTGTCTGTTGCAGCGAGGTTCGTTAACGGACTGTGTCTGTTACAGCGAGGTTCGTTAACGGACTGTGTCTGTTACAGCGAGGTTCGTTAACGGACTGTGTCTGTTACATGGCAGGTTCGTTAACGGACTGTGTCTGTTGGCAGCGAGGTTCGTTAACGGACTGTGTCTGTTACAGCGAGGTTCGTTAACGGACTGTGTCGGTTACAGCGAGGTTCGTTAACGGACTGTGTCTGTTACAGCGAGGTTCGTTAACGGGCTGTGTCTGTTACAGAGAGGTTCGTTAACGGGCTGTGTCTGTTACAGAGAGGTTCGTTAACGGACTGTGTCTGTTACAGTAGGTTCGTAACGGACTGTGTCTGTTACAGCGAGGTTCGTTAACGGACTGTGTCTGTTACAGCAGGTTCGTTAACGGACTGTGTCTGTTACAGCGAGGTCGTTAACGGACTGTGTCTGTTACAGCGAGGTTCGTTAACGGACTGTGTCTGTTACAGCGAGGTTCGTTAACGGACTGTGTCTGTTACAGCGAGGTTCGTTAACGGACTGTGTCTGTTACAGAGAGGTTCGTGAACGGACTGTGTCTGTTACAGCGAGGTTCGTTAACGGACTGTGTCTGTTACAGAGAGGTTCGTTAACGGACTGTGTCTGTTACAGAGAGGTTCGTTAACGGACTGTGTCTGTTACAGAGAGGTTCGTTAGAGGGAGGTTTACTGTGCCCCATTTTCTTTACACTAAGGTACATTGTCTGTGTTACTTTCAGAGTGTGAAGCTGAGCGTTATGGTCCACCAAACTGTCTCCAGTGGTGTCCTGACTGTATGTACGGGGGTGTTTGTGACGCTGAGACTGGCCGGTGTGTGTGTCCCCTGGCCTCACGGGAGAACTGTGCCACACACGTAAGTTATTATTATTAAACTTAAACACGTTTGCCTGTCTCTCTGTTCCTCCGTCCGTCGTGAGATCTTGTGTACAAGATGTCTTGAGGCAGGAAGCATGGATTCTACTCACACTTACTCAACAAGTACAGTACAGTACAGTACAGTACACTACAGTACACTACAGTTATGTCACCACTTTCCTTATTCCAATCCATGGATAGCGTGGAGGCGCGCTACATGACCACATACACCGTTGATTGGTCTACGAGGGAATCTAGAAAGACTAAAAAATAACTTGCTGAAATTTAATTCTGTAGAACATGTAGATCATCTTTTATACCCAACAGTGACGCTGGGAAGCTCCTGCCTTACACTGTCTTACCAATGTCCCATAAACACCGTTAGTTCAAACTATCCAGTCTTCAGTCTTTGGCAACGGGAAGCCTTGGTGACAAGATTTGACAATGTTATGTGTCCGATTTCTCTCTGCGCTTATTATTTATTCTTTTTTTATATTTATAAAGCTTTAGCTACACCTGATATTTTTTTGTATATTTCACCATGTTTGTCCATTACAAGAAATTAAGGGGAAAACATTTGGAGTTCATGCTTGACTTAGTTGATGGATAGGCGAGAGTGCCTGAGGGGCCATTGGTGAGTTAGTAAGTACAGTAGTGAAGGAATGATAAGTGTACACAGGCAGGTATCCTGTACAGGTTCATCTGTTAACATGACAGGTCCCTCATAATGTCAAATGACAAGTCAGTCTTTAGGAGGGACCGGATGTTAGGTCATGGAGGGATGACGTGAGGGTGACGGGTGTAGTGAGACCCCACAAAGTGTATACGAGCTGCGGACAGGCTCCGGGTTGTCCAGGTAGTAGTGTGCCTATAGTGTTACCTGGTGTGACCGAGTCTGAGGTTGGCCGCCAGCTACTGTGTTATAAAGGTTCATTATGCAGCTGGCCTTGAGTTCAAGATTTGTCCAGTGTTCATCCAAGCTCTCACGCTGTGAGGTGTGTATTCCCAGATGGCTTCTGTGTCATCTTCCGCAGTTGCTTCTTTGGCGAGGCGACCAACAGTGTCACTGCAGCTATTCCTTCTATGGAAGATAGAATCCAGAGGAACTTAACACGGATGCTACCAAATGCGATAAGCACGGCTACGGCAGCGAGGGTGTGTTGGATGACTGGGTAGAGAGGGAGGGAAGGGTTCAGCCTCGCTTGTGCAGATATACTGCTGCTGATATAATAGAGATGACTCCCACAAGGATGGCCATGTTCTCAGTGTGTGTGTGTGTGTGTGTGGGAGACCCACTCATAGACTCTGGTCTTCCTGAGACTCGGTCGCTCAGGTCCACACTGCTCTTGCAGCACACCCATCACAGTGGACAACGAGTGTGTAATACATAGTCTATTTTCACTTGAGAGGATTTAACTCAGTTGGCTGCTGTTAGAGACGGGGGGTTATAGATGAGTATACTGGTGTAGAGGTGGTGTTGCCGTGGGGGAAGTTGAGTATGCTGGTGTAGAGGTGGTGTTGCCGTGGGGTGAGTTGAGTATACTGGTGTAGAGGTGGTGTTGCCGTGGGGTGAGTTGAGTGTTGCAGAATGTAAGAGGCTGTGTGGGTGCCGGGTGGGTCAACGTAAAGCGGGGGAGAAACGAGTGTTAAGAGCAGGCTAGTGCACAACCTGGTGTAGGTGTGAGTGTGGTTTGTACACCGCCAGGTACAGCCGGGTGGGGCAGTAGTAGAAGTTAGCGTTGCATTACTTCCATCTGGGAGTTATGGGTCAACCAGGGATAAGTCTTGTGTTGTATCTTGTTTCGCTTAGCCGTTGCCAGCAGTGAGTGGTGACAACAGAGGTCGTGGCGCACACAGGTAGACTCTGGTATTTGTAGGTAAGTACCTGGTTGACTTTTCCTTGTAACTCAGCGGGGTCTGACACCGATGGCATGACATAACATGACATGACATGTCATGACATGACATGACCTTGGTTTGGTCATGGGTGACAGGTGCGGGCGAAGCTGAAAAGGACAGGCTGTTTGGAGTGTCGGATGTTATTTGTAGGTCATCAACATAGCTCACAATGTGACCAATAAGGGCGCAGTCAGCACAAGTAAATATTAATTAGTAAACAGACTTCATTAAAGAGAGTAGAGCCAAAAGTTTGCCTTCATCAAAATTTGTTGACAGTTGAGTTGTGGCCTTGGAAACGAACACGGACGTGCAGATGAAGACCTCCGGCCCTGGAGGTGGTGGTCCCAGCATGATTGTGCTATGATAACCTTCTACCAGTAAATGTTTACCTACACCCTGGTATACTGTATGAGAATTACACTGGGTTGCTTTGGAATATAAAAAATATTGCACATTATTAACATGTACGTGAAACACTAACCTGTGAGGTATTGGAGAGTATTCACAGTGCTACAGAGCTGTAGAAACATTAGTTTGTACTAAAGCTAGTTCACAGTAGCTTCTGCAGCCCGGGTGAGAGCGAAAGCTTAAGCAAGACATACATGTAAGTGTAAATATGTTGACTTACAATGATTTAAGACTTCATGCTTAGTCACAGCAACTAACAAAAAACTTCTGAAACAACTATTAGTTCAATTTGTCTGTTAAGAACCAATGGAATGGAAATGGTTCCAAAAGCCATGCATTAAACTTCTGTTGTGATTTTAGTGGAATGTGTATTAGTATTTCCTTATGTGTTAAGGATGCCTCCAATAAGAGGTAATAGTATTCTCCGTCATGCTCCTGAAAAATAGAAGTTAGATGATAGGCAGTTTCAGCTATATGTTAGATACCAGCGTGCTAAACGCCCTGATAAGTTCTTCCCATGAAATAGTTCTGTCACGGCTACATGATCTGTGTGGACTGTGATCGGATATTCAAAAATGAGATCCCGAAAATGCTTGAGAGCCCACACTACAGCTAATGCTTCTAAGTGAGTAGCTGAATAGTGTGTTTCTGCATCGTTGAGGGTGCGACTGGCGTATGCTATTACCCGCCACTTTCCTCGATGATCAGTTTGCATGAGCACTGTCCCTAGCCCTTGGCTGGAGGCATCAGTACACATGGTAAATGGTTTGGTGTAGTCCGGATCGGCCAACACTGGAGCGTTCATTAAGGCGCTCTTGGGGGCATTAAAACTGTCCTCTTGTTCTTTGTTCCACTTATATTCTACGTCCTTTTGGAGGAGTTTAGTGAGTGGTGATGCTAATTTGGCATAACCTTTAATGAAAGCACGGTAGTATCCTGATAATCCCACTGTGTGTATACGCCTGCCATCCACTACTTGTCTGAGGAATTGGATTCTGGATTTAAGATATTCACATTTGAAATGATTCCCTTTCAATCCAGCAATTTGTAGCTTTGTGAAGACTTCTTGTAGGTTCTTTAAATAACTTTGTAAATCTTTGCTTATTATGATAAGATCATCTCGATAGGAATAGACTGTGTTACCTATCATTCCAGCAAACAAGGTGTTTATCATTCTTTGGAATGTTAGCGGCGCATTTCTCAAACCAAATGGCATTCATAAGAATTCGAAATGTCCCATAGGCGTACTGAATGCAGTTATCTTGCGGGAATCCTCATGTAAGGGAAGCTGCCAGTACTCGCTCAGTAAATCTAGGTTACTGAAGACGGCGTTGTCTTTACCTAGTGACTGTAGTAAGTCACTTAGGACAGGCATTGGGAACCTGTCTGGTACAGTTGCTTGGTTCCCTCGTTAAAAATTTATGACTGGTCTCCATCCTCCATCTTTCTTGGGAACTAGGAATAGAGGCGAGCTCCATGGTGATGAGGAAGGTTAGACGTTACCTCTTGTTCCACCATTTGTTGAACCATTTGTTCAACTAACGCTCTTTGACTGTGGGATAGCCGATATGCTGGTACAGTATGTAGATCGGGTGAGTGTCCGGCTTGAGTGGAATGTAATGGGTTGTCAACGTTGTTTTACCTTGAGGGTTCCCCAGGCAATGCTAACTCGGCTAGTAATTATAAAATATCACGTTTGCCTTGAGGATGATTGACTACTTTCACGAGTGGTGTTATTAAGCTCTACTTCATCTACAGTACGTGGTTTTTGGTCAATTCCCTCTGTGCTATACTACCTATTGGTAATTCTATTGGTTCTATGACAACTGCTTTGTTGTAAACAAGGAAATGACCTAAACAACATCCCTTTCTTAAGGTTATGGGTCCCCCAGTTCTATTGAGAAAGAGGACATCTGTGAGACTACCTATTCTAACAGTGCTCAAGGTAGACTCAAGTGACAAACCTTTCACTCGTGAGCTTTTACTCAGACACACAACATCTGTTCCTTCACTCACATTCGGCAAATGTACTGTGGCTCTAGTTAGTTCCTGGCTATGTAACCGTTGTACACCAGTTAACACAGCAGGTGTTAAAATCCAGTTCTCGCCGCTTTCATCCCGAATGTCCTTTAAGCTACTCGGTGGAGTTTCGTGGAGTGACTCCATAACTAATTGCTTCTGTGCAATAGACTCCCCGCGCCTGTTGAGGCAGTTATTACACGAACACCCGAGGCACGCAATGGATGTGAAGTTTGAGTTGTGTAATAAGTTTTACAGTTATGTGTTATGGTGTGATTTCTTGGCTGAACCTTAATGTTGTTCTGCTTTAGTGTGGGAAGACCGATTAACGCATTCGCCGGCAAAGAGAATGCATTTACTATATAGAAATCCGCCAGAAAAGCCTTACTGGACCTAGAAAAATGGATTGGCAGTGTTGTCAACCCCGCTATATCTAATTGGATTCCTGACATACCGGCCAGAGGAATGTCTGTAGGTCTTATTGGCCACTTATTAGGAGGATATCATCGCTGGAGTTCACTGAACGACTTTAATGAGATAACATTGGCACAGGCTCCCGTATGTATGTCTAGGGACCACTGATTGTTACCTATCCTCGCTGGTACAGTCAACACCTCCACTTTGTTTAACGCGGCGATTAATGAGCCGGTGATGAACGCTGTTTTCTTGAAC